TTACAGAGTTGTTCCTGTTTATTTGTTGTCTTTCTTTGGGTTTTGGAGTTGGTTCATGTGTGTTTTTAATCTTTTGCCTGTACTCTTGTGAAGAATGCTGTTGTCTTTTTTCTTTTTCTTCTGTGTTCAGTACTTTCTTAAGTGTTTCTTGTAGAGGTGGTCTGGTGGCAGCGTAGGTTCTTAGGGATTGGATGTCTGGAAAAGATTTCGATTTTCCCTCACTAATGAAGCTTAGTTTGGCTGGGTAGGTTATTCTTGGTTGAAATTGTTTCTCTTTTAGAACTTTAAAGATAGGGCTCCAGGCTCTCCTGGCCTGAAGGGTTTCTGTGGATAAATCTGCTGCTATTCTAATTGGTTTTCCCTGGTAGTAGTCTGGCCTTTTTCTCTTGCTGCGTTTAGGATTTTTCCTTTCATAGCTACTTTGTTTAGGCGAATTATTATGTGTCTGGGAGTTGGTCTTCTCATTTGTTGTCTTGCAGGGGTTCTCTGGATCTCTTGTGTTTGAATTTTTTCATCCTTGATGAGATGAGGGAAGTTTTCTTGAATGATTTCATGAAATGTTTGTTCCAGTGTGGCTTCTGTTTCTCTTTCTGCCTCAGGTAGCCCAATTACTCTTAGGTTTGGTCTCTTGAAGTGATCATTCATCTCTTGCAGGTTTTGTTCTGTCTTTTTGAGCTTCTTTTCTATGCTTTTGACAGTTTGGATTAGTTCTGTGTTTTGGTCTTCGAGCTCTGGAACTAGACAAGGATGCCCACTCTCTCCCCTCTTGTTCAACGTATTGGAAGTCCTGGCTAGAGCAATCAGAGAAGAGGAGGCAATCAGAGGTGTTTGGTCTTGAGATTCTTTCTTCTGCTTGGCTGATTCTGCTTTCCATGCTTATTAGTCTGTTGTTCATTTCCATCACAGTATTCTTTACTGCTGTCATTTCTGACATCAGCTCCTTCCTATTTTCCTCTTGTCTCTCCTCGATTTTTTTAATTCTCTCCATTAATGTCTTGATGTCTGGGTTTGTTGCATGTAACCAGTCATTCTGGGGACTCTTCATTGTCTGTGTTCCAGAATCTGTTTCTCAGTGTCTGATTTCCCAGGGGTCTGTGTAAGACCTATATTCTTCTTTTGGTTTTTCTTTATTTGTGCGGTTTTTCCCCCTCCCTACTTTTTCCTTCCCTCCGCGTCACTGTCTTCTTTAATTCTGTTATTCAGGGGTAAGGGGATTGGTGTTACTTCTGTTTGTTCAATCTCCTATTCTTTATGTATGTCCTCTTACTTTGTTCAATTCTGAAGTTGCACTGTAGGTTGGAGGTGGTCCTTTTTGCAGTTTTGAGATGTACTTAAGGGGAGAGCTGTGATTCAAAATCTGTCTGCAGGTCCTGGTATTCGCTGACAGGCGTGTGGATAATGTGGAACCTACTTCCCACTGCCCTGGAATCTGTCCGTGCAGTGGGGCTATAAGTTTACTCCCTGAAATAAAATGTGGTTAGCAGAGGGGAGAGAATGGAGCAGATAGTGGGTTGAAGAGGGGAGTGGAGAGATAGAGGAGTAAGGGGGGAAACAAACGAGTGTGCCAATAAATAGAGAGAGAGGCCTATACTGAAACAGATAAAAACAATAGACCACAGCTACAGACGAACCAACTCTCATACAAGAAAATAAAAAATAAAAATAGAACATATAGTGATGTTAACATGCAAGCTAACCAACCACCTTGTTAGTGTGCTGTTCCTCTATACAAAGATATGGTTTACAGAGAGAAGAAAGGAGAAGAAAAGGAAAAGGAAAAAAGAAAAAAGGGAATAATACAGTAGGAATAGAATTAAGTCATTAAACTAATAGAATCAATGAAGCACACTCTGAGACATTTCGTTTAAGTTCAATGTCCTTTCAGGTCTGAATTCTAGTTTTCTTTTCAAGCTGGTAAATTAGTTTGCAGTTAGGGTCAGTTCCCCTGATCTGCTGTGAAGGACAGTTCAGATTGACCTTCATTCAGCAGTTTGGTCTATGTCTTTATCAAGCTTGTTTCTCCCGTTTCGGTGTTGTTACCTTGAATCGCCAGCAGGTGGTGCTATCTCAGCTGCTCGCCCCCAAGGGGGTGGGGCTGGACAGGAACAAGATGGCTGCCTGACTCTGAGCAGGCAACAGGAACCCCACGCCCGGCAGGCAGGACAGTCTCGGACGCAGGAGAGGTGGCAGCGATCCCAGCAGATCTTCCCTGAAAGGGTTTGGTGTGGATCTCCTCGGGTCCGGGTGGTGTGATGTGTTACCCGTCACAGAGGCCACGGTGGTGGCGGCGGCGGCGGCAGCGGCGGCGGGGGGAGGGGCTGCAGTGGCAGCGGCGGGACTGTTTTCACTGCAGTAACTGTCCAGTCATTGCGATATCCCAGTGGTGGCAACAGCCGAGCTCTGTCTGAATAGCAGGTTGCGATGCTGGGGTCCCCAGCCCCCTGGGGCCAGAGTCAGAGACCCACTGCAGATCTCCCTTGCAGAGGGCTTCAGACACTGGGTTGCCTCGTCACCATCTTGCCCCTTTCGACAGTTTGTATTTTCATTATATTTGATACATGACAAGCTGCTAAAGAAAAACAAGGGAGTCTGATTTAGTTAAGGTACGTTGAGATAGTAGTGCTTATAGCATTTTGTTAGCCATGGTAAAAATGATAAATAAAACTCGTTAGGGTTTTGAAATAAAAACTCACAATAAAATCTTTATCTTCAAAATCTATCTATCATCTATCTTCCTTACGTCCTCTCTCCTTCTCTTTCTTACTCCTTTTCCTCCCTCCTTTCCAAACATATTATGTTAGGGTCATATGTGGTGTATATATGGTTGTTGAAACTTTGACAGAAAAAAGTGGCACTGAAGGACTTTGCACCTTCTTCAAGAAGTCTGGTCTTAACATGTTTGCTTCATGCTTTTTTCACCAGGCTTTAATAAGACTTTTTTTTTTTAAATGAGAAAACCCAGTTAATGGCTTTTTTAGGGTATTTCTTCCTCAGTGATTGATTTACTTGCATCATTGCCAGTTGGGTGATATTTCTTTGTTTTCTTTTCTATATTGTGATCTCTTCATGCACAAAAATCTGTTACAATTCCAGACATAATTGGAAGCATTTGAACCTGAGTAGCTATTTATAGAGTTAACAGCACAAGACTGACCTAGTTTGTAGATGGCCACATAGTGAAAAGATGACAATTAAATTTAAGCTGTCCTCATAATGGCACTAAATTTACATGATTAGATTTTTTTCCTATGGTAAATCCTCTTTCAGAGTGTTTAGTTTTAAAATTCAGATGATTTAAAATTATTTTAACTAGAGTGGAAAGGAAACCCACAAAACATTCCTTCTGTTTTCCTATAATTTGAGAATAAGTTTTGAGAAAAATTGAGACTTTGCAAACTTAGTTTTAGTTACAAAGTAACTCTTATAAACACAATAAAATTTAACTGCATATGATGGAACAACTGATTGACTTTCGACTGTGAGTAGTCACTATTGAAATACCGCATCTAATCTGCCATCAGGAAAATTCTGGTGAGGACTTTCCATTACTTGGGGTATTTTTAAAGCTAATGATAGGTGTTATTTTCTTCTTTTTAGACTGCCACAAGTTTCAAAATGTACTTAGAAAACTGGAATATTCAGACAGCTACTTGGCTAAAATGGTAAGAAAAACAAAAACGACCTCATTACTCATGGCTCTGTGGTATGTGTAGAGGGGAGTCAGGAGATGAGCAGCAGTCATCTGCCAGCAGTCATGCCATCTGACAGTTTTGTTTTACATTAACAACTATGCCCTGTAAGTAAAAAAGTAGAAATGTTGTGATTTTAAAAGGTCCTATTATAGCACATTCATGTTATCACCTCATGCTGACATACTGTATACCTGAAACTCATTTATTCCTCCATCAATCCCATGAGATGTCAGTAGTCATGATCTCCATCTTACAGATGAGGAAAGTGAGACACAGAGAGATTAAGTAACTTGCCCAAAGTCACCCAGCTAACAAGTGATAGGTATGAGCCCAAATGATCTGTTTCCAGAACTAGATTCTCGACCTCTACACTATGCTGCCTCTGTTGCTCAGCTGTCAAGGAGGGTTAATGTCACATGAAATCACTGATGATTACTGTGTTTCTCCCTGGAATTAAATTCTTCGTGGTACCCCAGATGTTATGCTTTTAAGATGTATATGTTTGTTGATATTTCTCTGTCCTTTTGTTTCCCTATGTGTTTTAAAATTAGAGACATTACTTATTATGGGACTAATAATAATGATATCTTTGAAGCAGTGGGCTCTACCTAGTAAATGTGCATATCATTGCAAGTGCAGGGAGAGTATAAAATTGTTAAGCTTTAAAGCAGATTCCACTGTTTTGATGAACAGCATCTTGCATAGGTCAAAACATCGAGATAAAAGAAGAGATGAAATGTGCAATAATTCCTCTAAGGAAGTTCACGTGATATTTTGTGAAAATCTGAACATGCAGCCTTTGAAATTTTGGCCTTAACCTCATTACTATTAACTAATTTTGTAAATAATTTTAGCATAAACTTCTATTTCTATATATTGAGTAATCCCAATGTGCTAAGAGTCATACAATATCCATTAGGAATTTGTGTTCTAGGATCACTGAACATGTGTGCACAGAAAAAAATGAAAAAAATTTAAAAATCATTTTAGAAAATGAAATAGTTTATTTGTACAAAAATATACAAAGAGTAAGAATCATATACTTAAGTACCTACCCTTCATTTCAAAAAGAAAGGATACAAATGGGGTTGTCAGTCTTGTGTTTATCTTCCCAAATGCACTTTCTTGCTATGGAGAAAAAGCCATACTCCTTATTTTAGTTTTCACTTAGTTACTTTTGAAAACTCATACAGTGCTACATTGCTGTTAACTTTGAACGCTTATTTTATTTGGGTTCTCTCATTTAGTAAACCAGGTGGGGCTTCCTTGGAGTGCCATTAACAACTTGTAGACTGAGTTTCGGGGAAAGCCCTTATCACTTTATTTATTTATTTATTTTGAGTTGGAGTCTCACTCTGTCGCCCAGACTGGAGTGCAGTGGCCGCTCCCGGCCACTGCAGCCTCGACCTGCTGGGCTCCTGTGATCCTTCCGCCTCAGCCTTCCTAGTAGCCGGAATTACAGGCGTGCGCTACCACGCCCAGCTGAGTTTTTGATTTACTGTAGAGATGAGGTCTCGCTGCCCAGGCGGGTCTCGAACCCGCGGGCTCAGGCAATCCACTCACCTCAGCCTCCCAAAGGCGCGGGATTACAGGCTGAGCCACCGAGCCCGGCTACTTTATTTTTAATAAATAGTCAAAAAGCCAAAGATCTCCACAGTATTTGCTGACATATTCTAGATTCTCACAATATCAGTCCAATGGACACAGTGAGACCTGAAGAGGCATATAACTGGCACTTTGATTTTGTCCTGACGTCATTACCAAGATAAATGAGAAATGGGATAGGGTGTTGATTAGTTAGATGGCATGAGGGCTGGTTAGAAAAGAAAATCAATTTTGACTAAATGAAGATTTTCATTTCTAAAGATCCTTATTCCAAAATTTGTAATGCCTTTGACACTTGCTTAAGTACCCCCTAGTAGAATAGGCCATTGGCAGAACAAGACAGGAACCCTTGCTGGGTAGAAAGTGATCACTCGGACCTTTAGTAGATATAGTGTGGCGGGGTCCAGACCATGTAATCTAAAGAGGTTAAAATTTATAGCATCTTCTTAAAAGACTGAGCTGTGAATTGCCTGTCTGATAGTGCTCAAAGAAACCAGAGCATCTCAAGCTGCTTGGATTGCATTGCAAGTTCCCTGAAGGGAGTTAGACAGGCGTCCCATCAGTAACTCATGATTTTTGTGTGATCTGATCCAAAAAGAAACAGTTGTAGCTAGAAGTTTGCAGTATGTTTTACCTGTAGCTTGTTTTTTCCTCTCTTCACAGTGTGTGCTATGAGCGGGTTCCCTGGTACCCCACGGTGCTAACCTTCATCCTGTCTGCTTTGTGGCATGGAGTCTACCCAGGATACTATTTTACCTTCTTAACTGGAATCTTTGTCACATTAGCAGCTAGAGCGGTAAGCTTCCTTTAGGTGTAGGGTCCTTTCCTTGGTAATCTGATACCTGCATGTTTGTTATCTCTTGGGTCCTAGCAGAAGTTGGGCTGAGCATGAAGGTGGGAATGATGTTTTGAAAAATCAAACAAAGTGCAAAAGTCTTCTCATTAGAGAAGTACTTCAACATGTAGGAATGTTTTACACTTTGGCTAACCATTTTATTTTTGTATTATTTACAGTGGGTGTTTGTAAAACAAAAGGAATTTTAGGAACAATGTCTAGTACCCCAAGACATTTTTAACCATTAAAGGCTGTGAACATATACAGTCTACTCATTATAGATGATGTTATTTGATTTTCATATTTTATTTAATTTCAACCTTTGATTGTGATTGTGACTTTTCTTATTTCATATGTTGAGAGATTTTAATGACATTTGTTGAAGTGGATTTTGGATATGAATTCAGGAGCCCCAGCATAGCAATCCCCTCATCCTTTAATTCACTTATTCTGTGACTATTTCAGAAGCCCTGCTATGTGCTAGTCAGTGTTCTAGATGCTGGTCTTTACTAAGACAAGAGTCCTTGCCCTAAAGAATTTCTATTTTAGTTAGACGAAAGTGTGTTGGAATATATATGTGAGCAAAGTAGATTACTATTCATGCTGATTAGTACACTTTTAAAATTAAGTGCATATAGAGTATATTTGTGCATAGAAAACAGGGAAGGCATTTTCTTTTCTCCCATTCATATACCTTTCAGATTATAAAAGAAAACTAAAGAACAAATGGTCAGGACAAACTAAGAAATAAAGATCAGAATGTTGTTTGTTAATATCTCTGGAATATCATTCCTTAAAATGTTTTTAGTTCTATGATAGGTCTCAACTGGCATAAAAGCTTTGATTTATGTAGAGCCTTTCTTTAGGATGACCTGGAAACATTTTTCACAAATAAATTAGGTAGGGATTGGAGAGGAAGGGTTCATAGAAAAGTGTTTTCATTTTTTTTTCTGGAAGGAGAATGAATTTCAACAGTCACGAAGTGTCTTAGGCCTCTGGAAGTTAACCAAATAAAATCTCTTAGTGATATCCAGCACTGCCCAGTGGATGAACCATGGGTCTCGTCCTGATAAACTTAGGGCTAAGGAGAGGAGTTTGTAGCTTGCCTTGGGGCACTGAAGCCTTTCCTGCTTTGGGGCTGACCAGGCTATCAGCCAATCATTGTTTCCAACTCTGCCTTTGATTCTCAAATCTGGAAATTAGGTGTCTTTGGAGACAAGTCTAGACATATTTGTCAAAAGAACTGCACATGAGTATATCCTTTGTGCCAACATTTTCTGTTTAAAATAATTGTTTCTTTTTCTAAGTCTCAGTTTCCTTCTCTGCATATTGGGAATAACGATGGTTTCATGAAAGGCTTGTTGGGAGAATCAACAGAGATGATTCGTGTTAACGTATTAGCATAGACTTGTCACACAGTAAGCACTAAGTAAACAGTAGCTGCTTTTTAAATTGACAATAGTAATATTATTTGTGTTTTCATGGCCCAAAGAAAGTACCTAGGAAGCATGGAAGAGATTTATTTAGCAAGGGTATGATCATAGAATTGTTTATTATAGCAAAATGGGTGATGGGAAGACAAGCTAACTTTTTCATAATTAACTTTAAATTATATTGGAGATTACTACCTACTGACATGAAGAAAATATCATGAAATATTACTAAATGAAAAAAGTTAGAAAACTATATTGGTGCCATTAAGAATATAAATGTGGCCGGGCTTGGTGGCTCAGCCTATAATCCCAGTGCTTTGGGAGGCCTAAGTGAGTGGATTGCCTGAGCCTGCGGGTTCGAGACCTGCCTCGGTAACTTGGCGAGACCTCATCTCTACAATAGATTAAAAAAAATTAGCCGGACGTGGTAGTGCGCACCTGTAGTTCCAGCTACTTAGAAGGCTGAGCCGGAAGGATTGCCAGAGCCCAGCAAGTCGAGGCTGCAGTGGCCGGGAGCGGTCACTGCACTCCAGTCTGGGTGACAGAGTGAGACTCCAACTCAAAAAAAAAAAAAAAAGAATATAAATGTGCCATCCCACAGACTGGAAAAAATATTTGCCAACTGTATGTCTGACAAAGGTCTAACATCCAGGATCTACAGGGAACTCAAACATGCTGAAAAAAAAAAGAGCCCCATTACAAAGTGGGTAAAATATATGAATAGACACTTCTCAAAAGAAGACATATGAGCAGCCAACAGATACATGAAAAATGCTCAGCCTCACTAGTCATCAAAAAAAATGCAAATTAAAGCTACACTGAGATACCACCTAACTCCAGTAAGGATGGCCATTGTCAATAACTCAAAAAACAACAGATGCTGGAGAGGATGCAGTGAAAAGGGAACCCTTACACTCTGTTGGTGGGAGTGTAAACTAGTATAGCCTCTGTGGAAAATAGTGTGGCGATTCCTAAAAGATCTAAAAATTGACCTTTCATATGACCCCGCAACCCCCTACTGGGAATATACCTGGAAGAACTCAAATCACTCTATGAAAAAGATACCTGCACACGTATGTTTATCATTAACATTGTTCACAGTAGTAAGAACATGGAACCAAACGTGCTGCCCGTCAAAAGAGAACTGAATTTAAAAAATGTGGTATATATACATGATGAACTATTATGCAGCCATAAAGAAGGACAAAATCATGAACTTCACAGTAACCTGGATAGACTTAGAGTCTATAATACTGAGTGATCTTTCACAGAAACAAAGAACTGAGTATCACATGTTCTCACTCATAAGTGGATCTTGAACAATTATCATAATACCATAAGAAAAGGATTGGCAGTAGCAGGAAACTGCAGGGAGTGTGGCGGGAAAGCGGGATTGACAGTAGTGGGAATCTGCCTGGGGAAGGGGGGCATACCTCATCAACAAGGGTACCTGCATAATGACCATTTGTATACCTAACCCTGAATTGTACTCCATATCTTTAAAATAAAAAAAATTAAAAGTTTAAAAAACAACAGGAACAAAAATAAATGTGGCATGTTCCCTCAGGCAGTCCAAGGATGAGAATGCCATTCCCTTAAGTGGAACCTGAAAGAAATCCTGTAAAAAATAAAAATGTATATCCAGGAAACTCAAATCTTATATTCACGTTCTCACCTGTATTTCAACCATGATTTTTTAAAAAAAGAATATAAATGTGGATACATATGAATAGAAAAAGTTTGCAAGGCTCTGTGCTGAGTTTTTAAATGATGTTTTTTTGGAAGTGTTAAAAAAGAAAACATTATTTTGTTTGTTTCATTATTTGATGATTTTTCTATAGTGAACATGTATTTTTTTAAAATAAGAAAATCCTTGAGGCATTTGTAGTTGAAAATAGAACTCAGATGTTGGTTATTTGCTGTAGCCTGTGTTCCTGTGGCATAGTACCTGCATGCACAGAGTAAAAGTTGTTTTGTTTTTCATCCCCTTCTCCTTATTCTTGCCTGCCTTGATTTCCAGGTAAGGAGCAACTACAGACATTACTTCCTTTCTTCAAAAGCACTCAAAGTTGTTTATGATGCAGTCACCTGGGTTGTCACTCAGCTGGCTGTCTCTTACACAGTGGCTCCCTTTGTTATGTTGGCAGTGGAACCAACCATCAGCTTGTACAAGTAAGTTTTCATTGCTCTCACTTGCCATCCAGTGTACTTACCTGCTTACTCTGTGCTTGACTTAGGAATCAGTAAATTGAATGAAGCAGTTCTAAGAATTTCCAAATGGGAATTCAATGGAAAAATTGCCTATAGACATTTTAAGAGAAAATGGCTGTCCTGGAGACACCAACATATCATTCCGATACATATGGGTAAATTTGACAGGCATCCCTTAAGCCAGCAGTCCCCAATCTTTTTGGCATCAGGGCCTGGTTTCATCTATTATAATTACATTATAATATATTATGAAATAATTACACAACTCACCATAAAAAGAGGAGTAGACGGAAGTGGTAAATAAAATAACAGGTAGGCCCCATGCAGACTAAAATAAGTGTCGGATTCTGACTTAAAGCCTGCATATGCAGCTGTACAATTGAAGTACATCAGCTCACTTGCCACTCACTGATAGGGTTTTTGTATGAGTCTGCAAGCAATGGATTTATCATGGTCTCTGTGCTGTCGAACCTCACTGCTCATGTTAATCTGTATTTGCAGCCACTCCCCATCAATGAAAAACTAATGTCACTGCTGATCCAACAGGAGGCAAAGCTCAGATGGTAATGCAAACAATGGGAAGTCGCTGTAAATACAGATGAAGCTTTACTCACTTGCCTACTGCTCAGCTTCTGCTGTGCAGTCACCTGGTTCCTAACAGGCCACAGACCCTACCAGGACTGGGGACTCCTGTCTTAAGCTATTCAAAATATAAAGAAGAGGTGCTCATGCAGTACATTTTGAAGGGATGGACCTGGATTAAAAACTTAGAGAGTGAATTTGCTGCCCTTGGCTCTTTTCCTGGGAGGGAAGCTATGTTCGAAATGGACATTGTGAGAACAGGACAGAAAGAGGGGACAGGAAGCTGGGGTGCTGTGGAGGCGGGAATTACCTGATCGAGTAGTCTATAGAGAGCTCCTGTGTGCTCTTAACTGACATGATGAACCTGACGGGTGTGCGAGGGGGATTTGTGCTGTCAGTTGCACATGGTAGAGGGGAGTGTATGGAATTTAGGGCGGAGGAGGAGGCTTGCACCAGAAACCAGCCCCTAAATTCAAATACCTGTGTTCCAAGTGAACTGCAAAATGAACTTAGAATGGCTTACTTTTATTGTTTAACTCTTATGTTTGATTAGTTGTATTTCTCCACTCTTGTGAAGTGGTTGAGCACATGAACTAATTGTGTGACCTCTGGCAAGTTATTAACCTGTTTTACCTGTGTTTTTCCAAGTGTAAAATGAGGCTAATAATAAAATTCACCTCCAAGTGTCATTATGAGTACTGGATGTTAGAATTGAATGAGGTAAATGTACAGAAGGCTTAGGCCAGTACCTGGCATATTTTTTCTTTTAAAGAAATACTAACTTGTGGTATTTAATGAGTTGCACAGGCCTTTCTAGCTTGACTTTGGAACACAGAAGGGTTCTAAAAAGTGATATAGAAATAAACAATGCAAATGTACCCTATTTATAAGTGGAGATTCCTAGAAGTTGATGGGCTGGTTGTATCTGTACAACACTCATCAATAAAGTCTGTTCTGCTACGGTGTATATTTCTATAAACAGTAGGTGATAAGTTATTTCCATATAACATGGAAGTTGTTGGTTTATATACACATTTTTGTAGTCAGGGGGTGCCAGAAAAATGGAAAGAGAATTAAAATCCTCAGTTAAAAAAGAAGCCCTCAGTTCAGCAACTGCAGAGAGAGGAGCCATTTCGGCCCTATATGAGTAAAATGGAATCGAGCACCCCTTCACTGGGGCTCTCTCCTTAGAGAGGCAAGCCCCCAAGCTGGCATTTTCTAACTCTTAACTGCTGTGCCTCCTTGTGCCCACCCTAGGCAGCCCCACGTGCTCCTCCCTGCTTCACTCTGGTTCCTACTGTGTCAAGCCCACCTTTGCCCTCTTTTACCTTCTGCATTTTTTTTTGAGTTGGAGTCTCACTCTGTCACCCAGACTGGAGTGCAGTGGCCGCT